ATTAACAAACTAAAAAGGCTGACGTTGGTTTACTATACGTTCAAAAGAATGAACTTACTGAATAAAATGAAATGCATTACATAAAAGCTAGTTGATGAGGAAAAGCTGATGACGACAAAACCTTGTCGAAACGCTGTACATTTGCTGTTATGTTAAACTTATATTAAAGTTTTTCTTCATTACCCATTCAAGCCGTCTCCAGCCATTATAAAATCTAGTTAATTTTTCAATACTAATTGTCTCTTATGAACCCAGTTCAGGACCCCCAAAATTTAGGCATATCTAAACTTGCTAAACAAAGAGAGAGTATCCAGTCAGCAACACCTGTATGACTTTACCTAATCAAATACCGAGAATGACTGTAAAACATATTCAAAGCTAAAAACCAAGGAGCGTTTTTACTGGAATATCACGAGCTCGAACTATGGGCATTTTTATCTGCTCTACGACACGTTAGCCATTAGGACACAAGATGAAGAATTTATAAAAACGGTTAATTCTCTTGAACGTATAGTAAACCAACGTCAGCCTTTTTCAGTCTGTTAATTCTCTTGAACGTTTAGTAAACCAATGACAGCCAAGGTTGTCGTTGGTCTACTATACGTTTAAGAGAATTAACAGACGGAAAAAAGGCTGTCGTTGGTTTACTATACGTTTAAGAGAATTAACAAACTAAAAAGGCTGTCGTTGGTTTACTATACGTTCAAAAGAATTAACAGACTAAAAAGGCTGTCGTTGGTTTATTATACGTTCAAGAGAATTAACAGACGGAAAAAAGGTTGTCATTGGTTTACTAAACGTTCAAGAGAATTAACAGACTAAAAAAGGCTGACGTTGGTTTACTATACGTTCAAGAGAATTAACAGACTAAAAGAGGCTGTCGTTGGTTTACAAGACCATGAATGCTATATTGGAACTACTAGAAAAACATGAAAATTAAATGGAGATCTTGATTAAATACCAGAAAAATGGCGGCTAGTTTAGAAAGATAAAAGAAATATATATATACATGAAAAATTAAGAAATGTGATCTATAGCTCTTAAGACTTCAAATTTAAAACTAATGCTGATATTTTTTTACCTGTTCCAAAACCCACCAGTCCATGGAAGGGTTCATCAGGAAAATGGGATCAGTTTGTAGTGGATAAATCATACTGTTGGTTTTATTAGTGAGATTGGAGTAATAATAATAATAAAAGTAGAAAGTTCAGTTTCTTCACTATTTTCACGAAAGTTACTAAACCATCAGATTTTCTTTGTTACTTGAGCCTAGCTAGAGCAAAAATCTATAAAATACACATCAACTTAGGATTTTTGATAAATATTTGCATTCAGACGGTTAGAAGGAAAATAAATAAATAAAACCCGTGAAAGCCAGTTCAGTACTTGAAGAAGAAAAGCTTGTGATGAATTGTGAAGCGTTGTACTAGATAGGAGCAGCAAATCCCTAAGAACTAAATATTGTACTTTTTATAACGTGAATGTATATTTGTTTTATTAGAGCGCGAGGATTTTTTAAATACGAACGTGTCAATCATATTGATACGCTATAACTTGTCATATCAGACAAGTTAGACATCATAATGCTTTTTTTTAATACACAGTTATTTTAATATATCAAAAACACAATCTTTAGATAGGTATTGTAGACGAGGAAAGCCAAATAATTTAGCTCACGCAGTGTCAATAAAGCAGGAGTATCAGCTAGAGCTGTTCTGTATAAGCTTTACTTTAAGTACGATAATGGTAAGAGAAAAATACTTTAGTTAACGTTCGGGACAACAGCAATGAAAATAAGACTTATAATTGATAACTTTATGGTGCAATGAATAGTATTCAGACTCTTAAAAAGTAGATGAAATAGAAGTATCCGTAAATGATGTCGAAACTAATTAAGAATGAGAACATGAATGTAACATAAAAAACACTCCTCCAATGTGTATAAAGCACCTGGGAAACACTATGCTAATTTTCTGTTATTAAATAACTATAGAGAAACAATATTTGTCACATAGCGGAATCGACCAAATATTAAAAGACGTTTTTAAAAGTTGTTGTGACTTAGGAGCTACGTCCCTAATTAATGAGTTTATTATTTTTTAAACTTCATGTTTGTTTGTTTTTACTCAAAAAATGTTCTTACAAATTTGAACAACATTAAAATCAAAAGGCTGTCGTTGGTTTACTATATGTTCAAGAGAATAAACAGACTAAAAAAGGCTGACGTTGGTTTACTATACGTTCAAGAGAATTAACAGACTAAAAAAGGCTGACGTTGGTTTACTATACGTTCAAGAGAATTAACAGACTAAAAGAATGGCCTGGTGGTTAGGCTGCTCATAACATCAACAAATTCATTTCCTTCCGTTCATGGTCTCGAATGGCCTGGTGGTTAGGGTTCTCATAACATCAACAAATGTATTTCCTTCCGTTCATGGTCTCGAATGGCCTGGTGGTTAAGGTGCTCATAACATCAACAAATATATTTCCTTCCGTTCAGGATCTCGAATGGCCTGGTGGTTAGGATTCTCATAACATCAACAAATGTATATCCTTCCGTTCATGGTCTCGCATTACCTGGTAGTTAAGGTGCTCAACCTGAAATCTACGGGTAATAGAGTGCTCAACCTTAAATCTACGAATAACAGAGTGCTCAACCTGAAATCTACGGGTAATAGAGTGCTCAACCTGAAATATACGGGTAATAGAGTGCTCAACCTGAAATCTACGGGTAATAGAGTGCTCAACCTGAAATATACGGGTAATAGAGTGCTCAACCTGAAATCTACGGGTAATAGAGTGCTCAACCTGAAATCTACGGGTAATAGAGTGCTCAACCTGAAATCTACGGGTAATAGAGTGCTCAACCTAAAATTTACGAATAACAGAGTGCTGAACCTGAAATCTACGGGTAACAGGATAGAAACTTCTACGAATCTTCTTCGTCATTTCAGTCGTGGGAATATTAAATGTCTTAGTCAAGCCCACTATTCGTTGGCGATGAGCGATGTAGACTATTTACCCTCCCCCTAGTGGATAATTTTATAATCAGGGACGACTAGACCAGATAGCCCTCGCTTAGCTTTGCGCGAAACTTCAACAATAAAACTTCCTGTCTTTCGGTATGTCAGCGAAATTATAACGCTAAGATTCGAAGATCGATTCTCCTCAGTGGACAGGCGTAGAAAACCTATTATGTAAACTTATTAACAAATTATCAAAATTTCGCCAAATTAAGCTCCAGTGTCAAACATAACATATTTGTTATAGCTCTTTGGAACCATCACGTCTCACAGTTTCAGTATTAATAATTTTATAAAATTATGTATTCATTTTAATACTTATTTGCTTTATCAAGTCAGCTAATGAACTTCCACTTTGCGGGCGTCCCAGTGGCATAGCGGTATGTCTGCGGACTTACAACGCTAGAAACCGGTTTCGATACCCGTGGTGGGCAGAGCACAGATAGCCTATTGTGTAGCTTTGTGCTTAATTACAAACTAACTACCTTGCGGTCACTGTCTTTGTGGTTTTTACTGATACTTTCCTGTTACTTGATAATTTAAAAACTCTTAAGTGATTGATGTATAGATTTCTGTCTATTTCGTTCTAATAATCCTGATCAGAAATTAGTGTTACTAAGACAAGGGAACAATAAGCTCTGATAAAATCCAATCTTATGGACAATACTTTACCGTACAAGTTTTCCCCTTCTTCTTAGTAAGTACCCTATTTGTATAACGTACGTTCATCCTATTAGTAGTTCATTTATTCGTAAGCTTATACTGCTTGTAAATATTTTGTATCTGTTGGTTTTAGATTAAAAGTAGCTCCATTCCTTTGTTTACCAGAGCTTACGATTCTCGTGTACACTTTAATGTCACAAATGGTATTCGGTAACAAATCTGATGAAAATGTCCAAAGTAATATTGCAAAGAGGATACAAATGGTAAACTAAAAGTTATACC